AAGAGAGAAATAACCCCCTCCAGAGGGTATGGCCACACTGCAACCCCTTCTTCTCCATCCTCACCTCCGGATTTTGGGCACACACGTGATTTTCAAGCTGCCTGGTGAGGAACTCGAACCACGGAGTTGGCTATGTGGAATCCAGCGCCTTAACCTTCATGCCACCTGCTGGCCTCAAACTGAAATGTCTTGAAGGCTGTGAGTAACCGTGACAGGCAGGAGGTAAAGGAGCCATGCATTAGGCAACAAGGATGTCCCTGAAGCAGAGATCGGATGAGCCTGGGTAGCACCTCAAGCTTTTGTTTTCCTTTCCTTATAGTCCTGGCTCAGGTCCTGGGTCTTCTGTTTCTGAGAAAAATTGTCTGTTTCAGGCTCTCCCAGCTCCCTTTACGTCCCCGTCTGGTCCCGTGGCATTTCGGCAGGAATGGCCCCAGTGTAGGCTGGTCTGTCACCGCCTAGAGCGGGAGCTTAGTGCAAAACAGTGGCCTCCTGTCGTTTTTTCTAAAGTTTACTCATTTATCTCCTCCAGGAGGGAGAGAGAGACAGCACCCCGACAGGGCCCTAGTGCTGGGATTCACCACCAGCCTTCAGCCAAGCCCCAGGTTATGAGCAAACACTTGTGAGGGCCCAGCATAGGCAGAGGAGTCTTGGGACTTAACTGGGAACCTTCCCAGGTGGGGTTGCCTTTTGGAGCTACACCCCGGTCTGGCCCCTCCTATTTTGTTTACCTGCCTGGAGGCTGGGGAAGGTCTGAGCACCTGTGGTGGAAACTGAGCAGTTCCGGGAGCCTGTAGAAGACCCCCCAACCCCTGCCCGGGACAGAGTCCATGACACCTGCCAGCCAGCTGCCTCTGACCCCACCCCACTCATCCCCCATCTCCTGGCAAGCAGGGCAGGAGGCCCACGTGTCTCCTGAGCGCTCTGTTCCAGGTGTCAGCGGGGCTCCTCCTGGGTCCCTCCTTCCCCTCCCTCTGTCCCCTCCCTGCATCCTCTCAGCAGCAGGAGGACTAGAGGCCGGTGCCCACACCCTCCTGCTGGGCTGGTTGTGGTTCTGAAGCAGAACCATGCCCTCTGCCGGGGCAGTGCAGTCTCTGCACGGAAGTGGGAAGAAAGGAGTCCCCTCCCCATGAAACGCTCAAGGATGGAGGTCAGCTGCCTGGGCTGCTCAACACTCCTGCCAGCAGCCCCCACCCAAACCTGGCTCAAGTGGGCACCCAGGGACCCACTGTGGGAGGCGAGTGGTTTCCTTCCACCTCTCAGGGCCCCTCCAGGTGCCAAAGTACCTGAAACCTTTGGCACAATCCCAACGCTTCCCAGGAAAACGAATCCTGAAGCCAGGCCCAGGGACATCAGATCTACCTCTCCCTGGCTGCCCTCCAGACCTAAATGTCTTGGACCCAGCCAGGACCTCTTGACAACCCATTCAGCCATCTCCCCACTCTAAGTTAAACACAGAGGTACCCTGTGACCCAGCAGTGCCATTCCTAGGTATATGCCCAAGACAATTGAAAAGATATGTCCAGGGCCAGCCAGTGGTGTGGTGGTTAAGGCGGCTGGATCGCACACGGCTGACTGCGGTTTGAGTCTCAGACCTGGCAGCTTGTAAAACACACCGGGCACGTGTGTGTGCGAGCCCAAAATCCCGACAGGAGAAAAAGAGATGGGTTTGCGGCGTGACCATCTTCTCTTGGGGGTACTTTCTCACATTCTCTCTGTTTATCTCTGGCGACCATATTCACCCTCTAGCACATTTCAAAACAAGAAAAAAGTGTGTCCAGACAGGAGCGTGTCCAGGAGGGCTCACGGTGCAGTCATTCCGCATAGGGCAGTTAGGATCTCAGATCCTGTGTCCGGGCTGTAGTAGTGTGTGTGTGTGTATGTGTGTGTGTGTGTTGGTGAGGGGGACAGGGGACATAGTTCTGCAGAACCCGGGGTAAAAGGCCCCCTGTGAGGGAATATGGTCCCAGCTACGGGGCTCCAAGCAGGGGCTGGCAGGCCCCAGGAAACCTGCAGTCAGCCTTTCCCTGGAGGAGACAGGGCCAGGAGGGAGACAAGGAGTGGACCAGATGGGAAAGGTTCAGGTCCCACTCTGGGTGCACTCATCGTGTGACCCGAGGGTCAGTTCCGTCATCCACAGGATGGGGTCAAAAGTGCCCCTGCACAGGTGGCTGTGAGAGTCACACGGGGAAGGCGTCTACAGTCAGGCCCTGTAGGTGTCATTAGATGACTCAGGTTGTAAACCCTCCAGCAGGTCCTGTGGCCAGGCTATCAGAGTCCCACCCTCCCCCAACTTGTTGGCAACACTAACTCTGGCTCTTCTCCATACCCCTTCCTGTCAAGAGGGGAGCCAAGGCCTCTCCCCTTGGGGGTACCCTGGACAGGTCACTATCTCTCTAGCTTCTTCTGCCATCTGCCAGAGGAGGCCAGGGCTGCCAGAGGTAGGCTGAGGTGGGCGCTCCAGTCCCAATGTTCGGGGGTGCTGGGAACTACCCTGAGAGCCTGCCTCTGCTTTGAGGGACCACGAGTCTTCACGCTGTGAGGGGGTTGACCAGATGTAAGTGGCATCAACTCGAGGCTGAGCGATCCCCAAGCCAGCGGCCACCACAAGGTCTCCACGTGGGCCCATCCCTAACCCCTCCACGACCTCCTGAGCAAGGTGCTACTGGCAGGGGTCTGGGCACAGTGAGGCTGGGTCGCTTGCCCAAGGTCACACAGCCGACATGAGTCCCAGCAGAGCCTTGCTTGCAATCACCTCGCAACGCCCCTCTGAGGGCTCCAGCATTCAGGCCCATTAGTGCCTGAGCATCGCCTGCACCCCACTGCTTTTTCAGGGACACACCGAGAGGCCACAGCCCATCCCTCCACACCAAGGGGCCTTTATTGAGCCCACCACGTGCTTGTACCCCACCCCACCCCCACTTCTGCCAGAAGCCTGCTTTACAGAGGAGAACCAGGAAGCCCTGAAAGCACAGAGCACGTGCCCAGATCCCAGCGCCTGTAATGCGTGTGCTTGGCACAGCAAGCGCTGCTGCCTTCCCGAGGGCCTGGCAGGGGAGGGGAGACCGCAGCCCTGACTGAGAGGCAGTGTGAGGGGGAGGGCGGGAAGAGGATGGGCAGAAGAGGGGAGGGGGCGCTTTTGGGGAGAAGGCACGTTAGAGTCCAGGTGGATGCCAGGACTTTGGAGAGGGATGGGAAAGCCTCAGACAGGCAGAGGGGCAGGTGCGGTATGGGTGGCAGAGTGAGCCCCTGACCTGAGGCAGGGGCAGGAGGGGCCTGGGAAGCTGCTGCCCTGGGTACAGGCAGCTCATTGGGTTCAGAAATGAGGAGGCCAGAGGGGGGCAGGCTGGACGCTGTCCCGCGGTGGGGGTCACAGCTGCGCATCTGCACGTCTTCCCCAGCGGGCTGGAGTTCCACTTGGGGAGAAACCTCTGGGCGGCCTGGGGTAGGCAGTGAGGTCGCAGGGTGACGGAGCAGTCTGGGTGACTGAGTCGGCTGAAAGCACTAAGCCAGGCTGAGCCGTGGACGGAGGGTGCGTGGCTGCAGAGTGGGCTGCGGGGCCTCGGGGAACGCAGCCGACAGCGTCTGCCCTGCGGCGTCAGCCACGGGAGGGAGCCACCTCACTTTGAGCCCCGTCCTATACCTGAACCCGTCATCCATAAAACCTGTCATACCCCCAAACAGCCCAGTGTGGGTGGAGATGACAGTCTCATTTTACAGATGAAGAAACCGAGGCTCACTGCCTTTCCAGGTGTTCTGGGAGCCAGTCTCACAGCCAAGAGAGGAGGGTCCAGGTCCCTCCTGCGCCTACTCCACCTGCAAGGGCTTTTCTGTGCTACCCTGCGGCCTGGTTTCCCCTCCGCCCAGAAACTTGGTGAAGGACATGGAGGTGGAGACGTGAAGGGAGGCGCCTGCCCTGAAGACCTTTTTTTTTTCTTTGGAGAGATTTTTGCTATAGGGTGCGTGTGCTCGCCAGACTGAGAGAGAGAGACAGAGAGACAGAAAGTGAGAAATCACCCCCCGGGGGGGATGGCCACTCCGCAATCCCTTCTCCTCCGTTCTCCTCTCGGGATCTTGGGCACGCACGCACACGTGCCCTGCGTGAGTTTAAGTCACCGGGTCCGAGACGCGAACCGCGGTCGACTACATGGGAGTCCAGCGACATAGCCATTACGCTAACTGCTGGTCCCCCTGAAGACCTTCTTTACTTGGTCGCCCACAGTGGCCCTGGAGCGCTCACTGTGCACGAAGCACGTCCAAAGGCAGGGCGTGCTCCCGCTGCCGACTGGGACTGGGGCTCGGCCCTGCAGAGACGCTTCCCGACGGTGGACCGTGAGACGGTGGCGAGGAGGGAGGGACAGCTGGGGCCCGACGGAGCCACGACAGGCGAGTGGCGCCTCGCAGGGCCCAAAGCCACTCTGCTCCTGCAAGAATCGCACCGCGGTCCGCACGCGCGCCAGCCCTCCCAAGCGCGCGGTGCCAGTCCGCATGCGCACCTCGGGGTCCGCCCGCCCCGCCCCGCCCCCCGGAGACCACGCCTCTA